TGTGTGAGGGGTGAGGGAGAGTTAGGGCGGAGGAGGGAGACAAAGGGTAAAGGGCTTCCTGTTGCCGTCAAATGGCAGAGCATGGTCCTCTTGTCTGCCTGAAGGGCTGGCCCTGCTTAGGACAATGGGGAGGCTAGGTCCTGGAACTCTGCAGCCGGAAGGAAAATCTCTGGGCAACGCCTCTACCCGCCAGACCCACCACAGACCACCAGGTGGCCTTGCTTTTCCAGTCCCTGTTCTCTGCATAGCCGAACACCGGAGGAACCTGGGCACTGCCAGGTGTGCCCCAGGGACAGTCAGCTACCCAGCAGCCTCCAGGCCCACAGGGGGAAATTCCAGCTCCAGCCGGAGGGCCTGGCCCGAGCGTGTCCTGTGGATGTTGCTTTTCTTTTTGTCGGGTTAAGGAGGCACAGTAGTCCATCTCACGGCTGTCATTAAACTCAGCATAATGAGATGGCTAAATCAATAGCCTCCCAATCTTTACTGACTGCTTTAAGAAGGGGCCATTGCAATGCCGATATTTCTGTGCCCCAATTGACATTCATTTAATCTGACTTCCCTCTTGCTCCTGTGAATTACTGTGCTCTGCAGCCAGCCGAGAGCAAAACTGGGAGACACGTCCTGCACCTCTCCTTCCCATAGCTCACCCCCACCCACCCACCCACTCCCAGAGCCCTGCCCTGGAGCCCAGCTTCCAGCAGGGGCTGTGCTTTTCCTTGGGGAAAAGACCCTAAGCCCCAAATTTGGCCTCTTGCCAAGCACCTCCCTTGGCCTAGGAACAGGCTGGGTTTCTTCACAGCAAATCTGTAAAATATAGGTGTCATCCTGATTCTGCAGATGATGAAACCAAGACAAATTCAATGACTACAAGGCTCCTGAGGACACCAGCTGCAGAGCGGGAATTTTCCTAGGCCCTCCATCCCCCTCCATCCACCTCCATCCCCCTCCCGCCCCCACCAGCGCCTTCCCACCCAGACCTGGACGGTGACCGCCGATAGCACAGCCATGGTCAGGACAATCCTAGATACCGATAGCGCCTGTGAGAGCACTGTGCAGCCCAGACGCCCAAAACAGGAGAGATAACTGCACCGCGCGGCATCGGCCGTCTCCTGCCTGTGAGCAATGAGCCCAGAAAGCACTCATCCTGCGTTTGGTGCAAACCATCCGTCAGCTCCGGTGCAGGGCGAGGCCCAGCATGCCAATGAGCAGCAAGAATGCGCTTCCCCCCCAGTAAATCTAGTTAGTCACCGAGGCTCATCGCTTCTCCTGGAGGTTCCCCAAAGGGGGATGCGGCTCCCGCTCCCATCACACCCACCTGCACATTCGCCTCCATTCCCGCCCGGCCCAGCCTGGAACCTGAGCTGCAGCAATGGCCCAGGGCAGGATGAGTCTGAGCTTCTCACCCCAACTTGTCATGGTGACCACAGCAGCCAAGGAGGCTGGGGGCTTCCCTGCAGTGAGGTGGCACAGCCAGTGGTTTGCACTGCCTCCCTCCTCCACTGACGGGTGCTTCTGTGCCAGTGGAGCCACCTCAGAGCCACCTCAGGGCATGCAGCGCAGGCAGAGCCACGGCAAGGCCCCCTAACTCCTGGCTCCGGTGAGCCCCAGGACCATCAGGGGGGTTGGGGAGAAACTGCACCTAAAGCTGCATCCCTGCCCCACAGGAGGCCAAGAGCGGCTCCTCGCTGACCCTCTCCCAGCGCAAGCGCACTAAGGGCCCGGCCCACAGGCTGGTGGCCTGGCCAGCTCTCTGCATGGGATTGGCCTCTCATGCAGGGGGCCTCCATCAAACCCACCTCAGCTCACCAGGCAAAGGAGGTGTTAGGGTTCCTCAGGCACCCACATAGGGACCCTCCCCCGCAAGCCAGCAGACCTGTAACCTGGGCTTGAGGGGAGATGAGGGCCTGGCTGAGGGGCGTGTCTCAGACAGAGAGTAGGTGCCACAGTCATGGTTGGCCGAACGAACACACCACAAAGACACAGCCTGCTTGTGCTTTTGACACATTATCAGGTTTTATTTAAAAACATGCTAAAAACATGGTGTTCAATAAAGCCAGGACCAGGGTGAAGGAAACGCAGACACGGCATCACAAGCAGAAAAGTGCATTTGAAACCAAAAGGCGTGCTCCCCTGCTCTCCCGTGGGCAGGGTGTGGGCACGGGCCCAAGGCCTGGCCCCTGGAGTGTCCGGTCAGGGCAGGAAGGCTGGGCCCCACCCTGGACTACTGCTTCGCTGCGGGGAGAGGAGGGAAGTGGGAGAAGGGAAAATGAGCCCCGGACTCTGAAAGGCTGAAAGACCAAGAGCAGACTGCGCACACATGGCCCCACTCCCATCCTACGCCAGGTCCCTGCTAGTTAGCACCTCCACCAGTGGTGGGCAGGGGGCCCGAGAGCCAACAGGCGTTTCCATCCATTTGGCTGCTCTTTGGCCACTAAAACAAGGAGGGATGGCCACCTGGTTCCAAGTCAGACCAGAACGTTTGCATGAGCATCTGGGTGGGCTCAGCAGCCTTACTGAGTGAGCCCAGGATGCAGGCCTAGGCCAGCAGGGGGAGTGGGTGCAGGTGGGGACTGTGCCCACACCTACTGCCTCCCCCAGAGCAGGGCTCAGGCCCTGCTCACTCACCTCCCCAGGTGTCTGCAAAGAAGGGTCAGGGAAGGCTTTCCCCTGATGCCGCCTGCAGGACCCTGACCTTCTGAGCCGTCTGTAAACTGCCTGCATCAGACCTGACTAAACTGACTGACTCTGGTGAGGGAAGCCACGGCTTCAGCCTCCAACACAGTGTGGGCCAGACACGGGCTTGGAAGAGCGCTCCAGTGCACAGTACCTTCTACCCACTGTAGGCTCGGCCAGTGACGGAGCCACCAAGCACAGGCTGAGGCCAGGAGGGATTTCGGAACTGTGACAAGGCCCTGAGGACAGATGATAGCGTGGGGCTCAAAGGAGGAAGGGTCTGAAGCTCCAGAAACATAAGATTGCCAAGGAGGCCACACACCCCAAGGTGCTAGGCTTTTGCTGTTGATTTTAACAAAAATTAAAAATTGCATTGATAGGCATAAACAACCCCCAACCCCATCATAAACTCATTATGCACCACATCCCACTGCGCGACTTGAATACTTGTTTGCTGTCTCCACAATGGCTTGGTGGCAGGCAGCTAGGAGCTCTGCAGACTGGGTTCCCGGAGGCGGCCAGAGGACCCAGAGGCAGTTTTGCTCAAAATTGTGCTTACACGTCCTCCACCCCAGCCCCCACCTCCCAGCTCTCCCGTCTGCACCAGCTCTCAGGGGTGGCTCTACTGCCCAACTCACTCCCCACCCTTCAAAGACGTGAGTCCTAACCTCACCCAAACCTCTGTCCTCCTGGTCCTGACTGCACTGCACTGAAGGTCAGGGAGGAGTTGCTGGCTGGGCAGCTGAGTCCCAGCTCTTGGAACAGACAGGTGGAGGCTGGGAGATGTGGGCCTGGTGGGAAACTCGGCCTGGAGCCAAGTGGTGTAGGAAAAGGCAGGTCCCACCTAGCTAGTGAGGAGCCTTTTCAAGCTCCATCCCACGGATTCTTGACTTTCTTCTTTAACTGCAAAATGCTCGCTTAGACCAGCACAAGTTCTGGTGGGCACCGAATGTCCCACCCACCTCTCATCTCTCAGGCAGCTTCCTCCTGGGGCCACTTCCTCCTGGGACCACAGGATCCAATTTGACATCTCCCAGTTTTCTGTACTTTTCCTTGGGATCACTGGGGACGTGATTGCCACCCAGTGATTGCCACCCCACCATCCAGGAGCCCTAAGGAAGGAGATGAGTCCTGGGACCTGGACGGACACCGCCCCCTTCCTCCCAGTGGGAACCAGCAGTCAGCTGGAATGGTCACAGGCACCACTTCCACCTGCCCTCCTGACGCCGGGGCCCTCTGCCACTGTCTGAGCAGCAAAACCTCAGGACTGCTTCCCCTCCCAGAAGCAGTGTGAGAAAGTGAGCAGCAGCTGAACGAGAGGTATGTGTCCGGGAGTTTCTACAGGAATGTCTGTGAAATCACTGGGGTTGGCAGATGTCATGGGAAGGCCCGCAAGGGGTGAGGGGAGGAGGGCCTCCCGTGCCAGCAGAGGGCAGAAGGAGGAAGAAGGGAAGGAAAAACAACTGCTCATCCATGACGTGGAAGACCCACAACTGCTCCAGCTGTGCTCCTGGGACAGCACCCTGCGGGCCCCAGGGACCCACTGCCCGGGCCTCCTGCACCAGCGCGCAGACACGTGGCTCCCGAGCAGGACGCTCCTCACTCACCGCGTGTGCCTCTCTTCACCTCCTCTTCCAGGCTCCTGGGCCCCGGCCGCCTCCTCTCAGAGCAGCTGAATGCGAGCTGGCCCGCCTCCCCCAGCGCCTCCTGGCCGTGCACAGTGGTTTGTCCTGACTGAAACCCGGCGGACATCCTCTCTCCCACCCTCCCCCACCCTCAGAAAAAAATCAAACCGTTACAGAAATCAACACAGTAAAAAGTTATAAATCAGAAAGCTAACCCTACACTTATCTGAGATAATATTCCTGAATAATCATAATCAGAGTAAAATAAAATAAAAAAGTTACACTGTAAGGTATAAAAAGCCTGGGCAAGGTGCTCCCTGGGTCCCTGGCCGGAGGCTGCGGCCCCGCTCTCGGAAGGGAGGCCTGTGCTGGGCAGTCTCTCCGCCAGGCCCCCCACGCGCACAGTGGGGTGTGAGGAAAGGCGGGGTGGCCACCGTCAGCGTGGCCTCCTCAAGCGCACCCCCAGCCCACCCTGTCTTCTTTGGCAAATGCACAGATGCAGGAATCCAGCACCCCTGGCACCCCAAGGTCTCCGTGCCTCCTCCCCCCAGCTCTCCGCCCCGAGAAGGCTGAGGCGGGGGGTGTGGAGGACGCTGGGGGGCGTGGGTGGGGGGCAGCAGCCTGGAGTGCGGGCAGGCAACACAAAGCTCAAATCTCCTTCCCTGGCACAGTGTCCGCGTGGGGGCTGGGCTCCGCTGGCGCTCAGGCGTCGTACTTCTTCCCGGTCCGGTGGATGTGCTGGAACAGGGTCATGGAGAAGGCCATGCCCAGAATCTGAAAGACACGGGGAGCGGGCTCAGACAATAGCCCTGCGGCTGGGGCCACCGACAGCAAGTGGTACCACTGCCTGTGGATGTAAAACCCTGGCAGGATAAGGATCGTGGTGGACAGAGGAGGGCACCCAGAGACCAGCCCAGGGCCCACCGAGAGCTCAGCCCTCAGCGCTCTCTGTACAGAATGTCGCTGAACCTCCCTCTCCATCTCAGAGTGCTGTGAGGCCGGGTGCGCAGAGGCTGACCCGGCACGGAAGCTAACAGGCGGTGCGGAGGGGGAGGGGATGCAGCCTGTGCTCCTTCATTCTGCTCTGGAATACACAGCGTGATGTGGGCTGCAGCAGACATGTCTTAGCAGTGATGATTAGGATGACATAAATACTCGTTTGTTATTCCCTCAACTCCTGAATCCTGAAAGGGGGTGGTGACAGCAGGGAGCCGGCCTGTGGCCTCACTCACCACAGACAGTCTGCATTGGGCACCGGCCACAGAGCAGGTGACACTGTGCCTGTCCTGGCGCCCATACTGAGGTGCAGGCATATGTGGAAGAGACCATGGTAGGGGGGACCTACCCCGAGGTTCTGACTCGGGAGGACCTGAGATGGGCCCTGCTCTCGATGCCGAATGCTGAGTGCAGCTCACATCAGAGCTCATCTGCTCAGTCCGTGAGCACGTAGATAAATCAGACACCCTCTGCCCCTGGGGCCCCAGAGTTTAGGATAGGAGGATCCCTGGTGCGGGATGTCGACCATCTTCCCACAGACCGACCAGTGAAGTTCAACTGCTCCAAGAGGAATCAGGCTGGACACCTCTGCTCACCAGGGATACGAGCCATGAGTAGTGGGAACAGGAAGGAGCCCAGGAAATGCTTGTCCCTAGAAAGGTCGGGGCTTTATGTTCCCAGCCAGCTGTGTCCTCTTCCCTCTCCGTCACCTAGGCTAGGCCTTAAGGGAACAGTGTCACTTAAGTGCTTACAAGAGCAGCTCACATGCCTGCCACTTCCTTAGCGTGGTGCGGCTCCCTGCCCATGTTAGGCATATTGCACTCCCGCCCTGTTGAGGAGAGGCACGATCTTCATGCTCACTATGCTGATGCGGAAACTCAGGCACACAAGCTATCAGTGTGCCCGGGTCACACGTGTCTAACAGCCGGTGAGGCCAGGACTGACACCTGTGGGCTCTGACCCACGCGCCATGCTCACAGGTGTTACTAAAGACTCAGGTTTCATTCAGTCCAGCCCTAAGGCCCCTGTGAAGTGAGGATAGGTGTGTTCATCAGCAAACACACACACATGCGGGCTGCACGCAATGCCAGCTTCGGGCCCAAGGCCTACAAAATGGGAGGAAGCAGTGCCTCTGGGGACTGTGGGGTTGGGCAGGCACCACGAGGCCACAAAGCAGGACAGTGCATGGAGGTGGGGCTGCCTGGGACAGTGACCCACAGTGACTTAACTTGGGGGGCTGCTTTTCTCCAGCTGGGGGGGGGGGGGCAGCGAGGCTGATGGCCCTCTCACCTGCATGATTAGGATGCACATCCCCACCGTCCCGAGAACGTGCTTGTTGTCATCAAACCACATCTTCACCTTCTCATAGCAGCCCTAGGGAGCGAGGACCACAGGGTGAAGGGCCCGGCGTGACGGTGAGCACCCTTCCTGCTCAGCCCCCCACTCTCTCCTTCAGCCCTTTCCTCCTGTCCCTCCCTGACCCTCAGCCTGGTCCTGCCTTTGAGCAGGCCCTGCCCGGCCCCGGGTTCCACCCACAAGGCCCCACTGCACAGCCTCATACCCCCCACCCCATTACACTCCCAACTATGGGTCCAGGCCCCCCATTTCCACCTGCCTCTTGGCTTCAGTCCTGTGTGCCCCCCACATTAAGCCAAGTCCTTGGTGCCCCCCCCCCCTATAGGCTCCTGGGAGGAGGAGCCGGGCAGGGCCTCGGGCCTCACCGTTCTCCACAGCGGGGTGGTGCTGTTGCGCCCACAGCCCTGGGAGTTCTCCATGCAGCAGCGGTCGGGGACTGTGCTCTCACCCAGCACCGGGTACCAGTCCGTGTAGTCGGTGACGCCGCAGCAGCGCATCTGCGGGGGGATGCACAGGTCAGACCACACAGCCTGCCATCTCCTCCGGGCCCTCTCCATCTCCTCCGGGCCGCCCCGCCCAGTGACTGCCCCCGAGTTCAGCAGGGGACACAGAGGCCTTCTCTTGTCCATTTTTGGCCTCAGCTGAGCCCACAGCGGGAGGTGAGTGAGAGCTCCATCCTGGAGGCTGGAGCAGGAGACAGGAAAGCTGCTGGCCCCTCGGAGCTGGGCACTGACTCCGGCAGGAGTGCTCAGCCCTCCATCCCACCAGCACCTGCGGCTCTGTGCCCGAGGGACCGTCGCAGGCTGGCGCCTGTCCCTCCCCAACACTTCCCGCAGGGCATCAGGCTGTACTGACTTGTTCCCTCTCTTAGAATCAGAGCCTCCTAGCCTGAACCATGACCAGGGGGCATAGCTGTTGCTAAAATAAATTCTGTCACTCATTCCAAAGCTTCAGAGAAGGACCAGATGCCAGTCAGTCCTCGATTATCCATCCTTGCCAGCTCCCTGTGCCCACTTAGCCACTCGCACAGCTCCCTCAGGCTGTCCACTCCTGTGTCCAGGTCCTGCTCACCCTCCTTCACTCACCCCCTCGCCCCTTCCCAGCTGCATCCCACTGGCTGGTGTCCGACTGCAGCTCTCACTTACTATCCAGAAAGCACAGCTGCCCAATTCAGTCACCTGGGTGGGGTCTGAGGCCCAGGCCACCAGGCCTCCTCCCCGCCTGCTGGCCCCGCCCATCCAGTCAGGGGGCTGCCCGCCCTCACCTCGGCCTGGATGATGTTCCAGGCGTTCTTCAGACCCACGTTGTTCTCTGTGTTGTACAGCAGCAGGCCTTCCTTCAGGTCCTTCTTGGCGTTCTCATTGACCTGTCCGGGTGAGGCAGACACACAGGACAGTTGGGACCAGCCTGCCCATGTCGCCTAGAGCTGCTGGCCTCTCTCCCTGGGATGGGGTGCCGGGGCAGGGCAGGTCCACACTCCTACTCCAGTCTACACCCACGGACTCCCAGGAGAGCTGTAACGCTCAGAGGAAAGAGTCCAGCCACACACAGGCCCACATCTTGCCCCATGCTGCCCCACCAAAACCTTTCATCTGGGCCTGGCCTGTTCGCCTGGCTCCATTTCCCTCTGGTTAACTCCGGCGTGACCCAATCCCAAGGACAATGAAATTCCATAAGCTCCCCCTTCCTGAAGGCTTACCTTGTCCATGTAGACAAAGAAGAGGATAAGTAAGATCAGCTCTGCTAGGAGGATGACCAACAGGACGATGAAAAACTGGAAAGAAAAGGTGCAGGCATGGGCACATGGTGGTGGTTGTGGCCAGAAGCAGGACCAACAAGAACAATGGCGGGAGGCAGGGTCAGGCAACAGAGCCAGGGCTTCCCAGGTATGGGGGGGAGGGGAGGTGTACTTACTTCTGAGGAAACCCAGATAGGTAGGGGAAGGACATTAAGAGAGGAACAATTAGGTCAGGGATAGCCAATCGTGAGGAAGAGGGGAGTGATTGGGCAAAGAACATTCTGGAAGCAATCTCCCTGGGCTCAGTTAGCTGATGTTCCCAGGCCTTGCCGGTCATTGTGGCCCAAACGCAGGGTGACCCAGAGAGTTCAGAGGGTTGGGGGCGTGGGGTCCGACTTACACTGAGGAGGAGGCACTTGTTTTCCTTGATGGCCCCCAGGCAGCCCAGGAAGCCCGTCACCATGACAACGGTGCCTATGGCGATGACTAGGTTGGCTGCAGACAGCGAAGGGAAGCTGGGGGAGAAGGTGGCAAAGTTGCCTTGGGACACGGAGAGCCAAATGCCCACTCCAAGCAGCCCACAGCCACAGAGCTGGAGAGAAAGGAAAGCCGGTTAGACTGGCATTGCTCTTGCATTCACCAGCAGGGGTCCCGAAAGACTCCATGTCCCCACCCCCAACTCTGAGCACAATCACAGCCTCCAATCGTGTCGGCTGTGTGACCCAGACAAACCCCTTCAGCCTTTCCATGTCTCAGTCTCCCTCTCTGGAAAATGGGGTAACAATGGCTTCACTGGCCTGTAGGGTCACTCTGAGGATCCGATTAAATGAGACATAAGCAAAAGCATGTGACAAATATTGCGGGTCCTAGGTGCAGATGGGTGGCTGCAGTTATTCCACCTGGCAGGGGAGAGGTGCTGGCATTCAGAAGGGGACTGGGCAGGGTGTGTGGTGGTCAGGGGAAGCCATACGGCCTTGCTCGGGTGGGGAAAGAAGCTCGGAGCCCAGGTCCTCAGAGCCAGACCCCCAGTGACTGCCCTGCGGTCCTGAGCAGAGGGTCGTCTGCCCACTGTTCTCAGAGCCTGGAGAATGAAGTTCCCACAGATGGAGAAGAAAAGGACTCACTGGGCTGGCTGAGAGCTGACTGAGGGGCTGGCTGAGGTTTAGGACGGAGCCGCCCATCACTGCCTTCACCATCCATCTGTAAGCCAGCAGCCAGCCCTCTGGGCCCGAAAACCGGCTCTTCAACAGCACCCCTGGGGCCGCGCCGCCACTCGCTTCACCTGGGGAAGCTTCGGTTTCATTGGCTGCAAATCTCCACGTCTGCCTTATTTTACGCTCGATATAGCTGACAGCCCCCTCCTCCCGCAGCCCAGAGGAAGTTTGCTGAATCTGAGAAGCCAATCAATCAGTCAGCCGATATTTATTGAGTGCCTCTAGCATGCAGCGTCCGTGCCAGAGGTGCTACAACTGCTTTAGAGGCCTGCCTTCCCCAGGCCTCCACTCGGGCCGGGTGGGAGCTAGGAAAAAGCAGCATCTGCCCCTGGCAGTATACACTGGTGCCAAATAAATGGTACAGGAGTTCAGAGGAGGCAGTCACTGTCCTGGTCCAAGACGCCAGTTGGTGGAGACAGAGCCCCAAGGATGGGGGTTGGGGGGCCTTGGGGCAGGCGGAGGGCAAAGACGTTCCACATAGGGGCTGGGGAGCCAGACATGGAGCTGACACCCAGCTCCAGCTGGTCCTGGTTGTGCCACTTGCAAACTCCTTTTATTCTGAATGAGAATCATAGCGCCTACTTCCTGGGTTTCTCTGAGAATTCACATGGAAGCAAGCGTGGGAAGTGGGTGGAAATAGCAGTTCCTGGTGCGGAAGCCATGCTATGACCCAGGGACCATAGGAGACGCACGTATATCGGTAAGACAGGCAGCCCGCAGCCCCAAACCGAGCCCCTACTTAGTAAGCGCCAGTCCCCTTTCGAGTGCTGGGGGAGCTGGTAAACTGCACTGGCCTCAGAAGGGGGAGTTCCCACACAGAATGGGAACTAGCAAAGACCTCGGAGAGTTTCAGGCGCTGGTGAGTGCTATGAAGAAAATTAAAGTGGGCAAAGGATTAGAAAGTGGTCAGAGAAAGGGGACAGAGTGGTCAGAGAAAGGTGGCCATTGCATAGGGACCCAAGGGGGGCAGTGAGCCACACAAATACCTGGGGAAAGTGTTCTCATAGAGGGCACGGCCCTGAGGTGTCCAAGTGGCCACAGAAGAGTGAAGGAGGTGACAGGTGGTAGGGGCCCAGTAGGCGGCAGCAGGGGACTGATGAGATAAGACCCTGCAGGCCCCAGGAAAGAAAATGTGGGTGCTGTTCTTAGTGGGGTGGGAGGCCTCCGGAGCTGGACAGTGACATGATTTATGTCTTCAATAGATCGCTCTGGCTGCTGTTGGGAGAACAGACCAGCGGAGGCAAAGGGGGCGCCGGGACGGCAATCAGGAGGCACTGGGGCGGCCCGCTGGCGGTGACCTGCGCCAGGTGGTTACGGAGGGCTGGTCAGAAATGTCTGACTTGAGATATATTTGGAAGGCAGAGTTGACAGGGCTTGCTGGGCTTTAAAAAAATCAATGGGATTTTTATAAATGGTGAAACAAAGGTGATCCAGACTGGGCATGACAAAGAAGTTGGGAAATTTCCCATGTATCATTAAATCAAGACTGTTCAAAGAGCTTCGGGGATGGGAGTTAGGTAAGTGGAGCGGCTGTCTGGGTCTCCCATGCTGTGGAGAGAGGCCCTGAACCTCCTGCACCCTTCAGCAGCCCAAGGGCAAGGTTCCCAAGGTGGGCATCCACCCACCCAACAGGGGCATCCCTATGCTTTGCCAGGGGAATAACCCTTGCAACCACTAGGTGGCGCTCCAGGCTTGGTCAGAACCTCTGGAATTGCCAGTGAGGCTCAGAAACTTTCATCCAACTTGTCATTGACTTTTTTCAATCTGCTCAGTATCTATGCTGCCGTCTCAATTTTTCTTTCATTAATCATACCATGGAAATTCATGACCTTCATGTTGCAGATTTATGGTTCCTAAAGCCAGGCCCTGCCGTGAATAAGAGGAAACCCGTTGCTGCGGGCCTCTGGCTTCAGGTAGAGGAGCCTAATAAAGAGAGATGACTTGGACTCCGGGCCTGCAGGACACCCCTATTCCCCGGCAGCTGGGACACCAGGGCCCCCAGGACCCTCCCCAGAGAGTGCAGCTTTCCCCAGAAGCCAGTTCTCACTGGGAGTCGGCCTGTGGTCCCGGCTGTGCCTCCATTCTGCATTTCCCTCCTGGGGGAATGAATGAGTTCAAAGGAGCCTCCACCAGGAAAAGCTCAATGATTCAGAAGCTCCCAGGAGCTGGTCACTTCTCACACTGCTTCTCTGGATCCTCACTGCATGTCCTTGATTCGGTCTATAAGCTTCCCAAAGACCCACCAGCAGCCTCCCTCCAGCACCCGGAGCGAAATAAGCTGTGGGCCCGCCCCCCACTTGCTTCCCTCCTCACTGCCATGCCCAGGCCCCGCCAGGCCCCAGGCTAGGTCCCAGGTGAGATCTGCTGCCTACCGAGGGGCAATCCCACCAGCAGCCTATACCTAAGTCCGGGGCTGGGCAAAGGCATGGTACATACCTGCTGAGTGAATGAGACCCCTGTCACTCTTCCATCTCTCCCCAGAGGGCTGCTGACCCTGTGTCCCCACCTCAGATGACCCAGAACCAGCAGAGCCTCCAGGCAGGAAGCAGACAAACATCACACCCTAAGTTTACAGAAAATGACACTGAGAGGGAGCAGGCGCCTGTCACACAGCCGGATGGGCCTGGAACCTGGTTTCCTGGCGTTTGGTGCAGGCTCCTTCCACACCGCCACTCCTAGGGGACTCAGTGCATGCCCGTGTGAGCCCCGGCCAACGGGGAGCAGCAGCACAACCCCCACCGTAGCCTCCATCTCATGCCCAGACCCCAGCGGGCTCCCCTCCCTGACTCTGGCCTGTTTGTCAGCCTAGCCTGCATTGAGCTGCCTGAATCTTTGTCTAAAATGCCTCTTTCCTCGTGCTCTCCCTCTGGGGAGCACTCCTGTGCCTTCCTTCCCCTCTCCTCCCCCTACCTCCGCCCCAGCATTACCTTTGCCCTTCCCTCTCCTGGGCTCCAAGGGCCCTTCTTTTGCTTCTGTAACTTGATTCCTGAGCCTACACAGCCCAGTTAACTCACTTGTGCTACCTCAGAAACTTTCTAAATCAGCTTTCTCTTATAACTCAAAAAGTAAATAAATACATAAATAAAATGCCTCTTCTATCACCTTCCCCTGTGTGGCCTTCAGATTCTTGAGCTCTTCGAGGCCAAATTTCCCTTAAAGGTGGGATTGGGACTATGGAACTCCTCAGGTCCCTTCCGGCCCGGGTTTGGCCAAGACTGAGGCCCGGTGTTCTCAACGCCTAGCCCGGTGGTTCTCAACCAAGAGCAGCTTTGCTTACTGGGACATCTGACAATGTCTGGAACATTTGGGGTTGACACAACTTGGGGAGAGGCCTGCTACTGGCATCCTAGTGAGTAGAAGTCAGGGGTGCTGCTAAACATCCAACAATGCACAGGACTGCCCCTCCCCGTCCCCCGCCCCGCGCCCTACACACACCAATAAAGAACTATCCAGTCCCAATGTTAGTAGAGAAGAAACTCTGCCCCAGCCCTCCCATGCCAGGTGTCCATCATCCAGCTCTCAGTGCCCTGAGAAGACAACATCAAAGAAACAACCTCTGTGTGTCCCCTCCAAGGGTGGGGCAGCGACCGGGCTCTGAGAGGGTCGACACAACATGAGTGGAGAAAAATGCTGGGAAGACTCCGCCCAGGAGCTAGTGAGGGATGGGGCAGGAGCAAGAACAGGCCAACATCTAATGTGTGGCAAGGGCAGAAGGGAGGAGTTGACAGCAGAAAGGTTTGCTTGGCAGGAGGGCAAGAAGACAGGAAGCCAACATCTGAAGGCAGAGCAGGAGCAGGGAGAGGGAGGCAGGAATGGGAGAGGGGTGGAGCAGGGAGGGGAGCCGCCTCATATGGAGGGTGCCAAGCACAGGAAGGAGGCAAGGTCTACAATGGCACGCCAAAGATCGGTGCCAGAGAGCTTAGCTGGTGGCATTCGGGAAAATTCCCTTCCAAAACCAGAGGGTTGTCTCAGCTGAGATGACCGAGCTATAGTCAGCCCAAGGCAGGAAGAGACCGGGTGAGGCAGTGACTCAGGGCGCCGGGATCCAGCCCCTGTAGCACGAATGACCCAAGGTCACCTGCCGGGCCTGGTCAGCACCCCTCTCTGAGCAGGAGCTGGCCCAGAGACCATCCTGATAAGCCTTTCTTACCCCTTGGTCCTTCCCCACAATAACCAAGGGCATTTCTAAATAGTTTCAGCTCAGGGCTCCAAATAAATTCACATCAAAACTTGAAAAAAAAATGAGTTCTACCTTTGCTATTTGCCCATGGCCTTGATCTGTGTGCAGGCTGGGATTTGGGTCTGTTTGGTTCCTCACTAAATACCCAGAGCTGGAACAGTGCCTCACCCTTAGCAGTGCCTCACTCTTAGGTGAGAT